TTTGATGTATCATTGGCAAATACGTTCTCCCATACAGTAGGACTCCTTTTCATTTTGTTGTTTTCTTTTTCTGTGCAGCTTTTTATTTTGATGTAGTTCCATTTGCTTATTTTTTGTTTGTTTCTCTTGCCCTAGGCAATGTATTCATGAACATTCTGCTACATTAGATGTCTCAGATTTTGCCTATGGTTTCTCCTCAAATTTTTATGGTTTCACGACTTATATTCAAGTCCTTTATCCATTTTGAGTTTATTCTTGTGTATGGTTTAAGTGGGTGGTCTAGTTTTATTTATTTTCATGTACCTGTCCAATTTTCCCAATGCCATTTATTGAAGAGACTGTCTTTACTCCATTGTATGGTCTTACCTCCTTTGTCAAATATTAATTGATCATATTGGCATGAGTTGATTTCTGGGTTCTCTGTTCTGTTCAATTGATCTATATGACTCTTCTTGTGCCAGTACCAGGCTGTTTTTATTACAATGGCTTGTTAAAAAATGTTTTAATTTATTTTTTACAGTGAGAAAAAGGAAGAGAGGTAGAAACATCTGTGGGAGAGAGAAATATAGATCAGCTGCCTCCTGCATGCCCCCTACTGGGTATTGAGCCTACAATCCGGGCATGTGCCCTCACCAGGAATCAAACTGGGACCTCTCAGTCATGGGACACTCAGTCCATTGAGCCATACTAGCTGGGCGATTATAATGGCTTTGTACTATAATTTGATATCTGGTATTGTGATCCTCCAACTTTGTTTTTTCTCAATATTGCTGTGGCTATTTGGGGTATTTTTCGGTTATAGATAAATTTTGGGGCTATTTGTTCTAATCTCACTTATATGTGGACTCTAATAAACCAAATAAACTGATGAACAAAGTAGGTCCACTGACAATGGAAGCAGGGAACAGACTGAGGAATCTCAGAGGGAGGGCGGGGCGGGAAGAGACTAACAAAAGAACTGTATAACCCCTGGACACAGACAATAGTGTGGTGAAGGTCTGGGGGAAGGAGACAGGAGTGGGGGGGAAGGTCAATGGGGCAAAAAGGGGGGACAACTGTAATACATTAAACAATAAAGTTAAATTTTAAAATATTTTTTCTATGAATAATTTTCATGTTCTTTTATTATTAGGAATTTATATCCCTAAATATATAGAAAAACTGAGTTTTGGGGATATGTGGTCATTAGACAGCACACAGATATTTTTTGAAGATGTAACAGTTCCTAAATATTTCCTCACTGGTAAGGAAGAAATGAGTTTTAAATACCCAATGGTACAGCTCCAAGAGAAACATATTTATAACAGTTCTAAGTATTAGAACAGAAATTTAAGTCATGAGAAAATACTCTTGGTTATATGAACACATAAACGATTTTTAATTAACTTGGCATAGATTAGAACCAGTAGGAATTATATAATTAGACATTAAGTTTCCTGAAAATATACATCATTCCATTACTAGGAATAAAAGCAAAAGTATATGTTGAATAAAACACTGTACACTCAATTAAAAAGCAAACTACTTCACATAAAAGTTTATACTGCCTGTCTTTAGAATGCCCACATCCTCCAAAATAGTTTAATGTTAATTAAATTGCAGACTGTATAAATGCAAAGATGATCGAAATGTTTCTTTCTCTCTCAGTATATATATATATGAGTATATATACAAATATATACTTTTAGATACTTTTACTTTCTTAGATACATATTTAATTTATATTAAACCTTATTACATGAGAACTTCCTGGTGATTGATTCTACGCATATGAAGGTACAGAGAATTTGAACAGTCCAGCCGGTGTGGCTCAGTGGTTGAGCGTTGACCCATGTACCAAGACGTCGCCGCTTCAATTCCCAGTCAAGACACATGCCCAGGTTGTGCGCCTGCTCCCCAGTGCGGGGCATGCAGGAGGCGGCCAATCGATGTTTCTCTTTTTCTCTCCCTCTCTCTTCCCCTCTCTCTAAAATCAATAAAGAATAAAAAAGAATTTAAACAAGTATATTAAAATCATAATAAATCTAAATATTAAAATGCTATTGTTTTATGAGGTTCTGTAGTTTACATTTTGAAGACTAAAACTTAGAAAGAGAACTCTGAGCAGCCACCCTGAAGGCAGTACCGCTGAGTACCAGGAACCACTCTAAGTGCTTTACAAGTTATATTTGATTACAAGAACCTCCGATTGTGCATGACTGCTATCTATATACAATTTTCATTCCCATTTTACAAATAGAAGAACGAAGCTGGAGAGGTCATTAGCCAGGTCATCATGTGAGTGGTGGAGCCAGGATTTACATCAGGCGGTGCGATTTCAGCTTTCAGTCATAGCTACGATGCTCGCTTGCTCCCCAGTACTGAGTATTAACTATTCTCAAGTCAGTTAATTCAGCAGTATGGCCTGATGAAGTTATTTACTGACTAACTGCACCCAAATTATCAAGCACTTTTTCCACTTTCTCTACAAGAGAGTAAACTCAATACATGTAATTTGAAATTTAAGAGCATGGAAAAATTAGGAAAACTAATGCATTTCATAGAACTAGAGCTTTCTATGGGTGCAGGTGCCAGGGTTTTCTGCTCCAGAATTCAAATGCTTAAAATGTTACATATTTGGTTTAGATTGAACAATTATTTGCTGCCCAAGTAGTATCCAAGAATTAATGTGCATGCTAATTTAAATTCTAGCAGGATGTATACTTCTCCCTTCCCTCACTGTGGAGACCGATGCCTGGTATCTGTAGGGGATGGTGCAGAAAAGTTATAGTTTTTATTATTTACAAATATGTTGGCACACTTCCAGGGACCAACTCTTAGTAAAATGGACTAGATATTTTGCAGAAAATTTTGGATATCTGGGATTTTTATAGATTTTTATGAATTGCTTTCTGACTCTGCTTTACCATTTAAAATACAGACTTTATAGTGTGTTCCTACCACCGAAACATCTGCAAGTCTTGTGTGGTTTGAATAAAAACTATAATGTGAATATTTTGCCTGTTTAATTACTATAATCCACTGCCCAGATACATATAGCAGTAATACCTTTTTCAGTTAGCAATGAGCTTATAAAGGATGATAAAGGATTAGAACTTTTCTATATTTGATGTTTTCTTCAAATTTCAATTCTGGGAGCAGTTTCTCCGAGTGGGTCCCCAAACAGAAGGAAGAAAAGGGTGCTGATAGGGCAGGGACAGGTCCTTTCAGGAGCTGCCTGTCAGGAGTCTCAGCAAAGGCAGTGTTGAGAGAGGGGTGATATGAAATAGTGCTGAGAGGTTTTTAGGCAGTTCGTAGAAAGAATTCCAAAATAAATATTGGACAGTGCAGTGATAAGAATTACATTGACATTACACCAAACCCCTTATCACCTCCTTGATGATAACAATATCCAACATTTAAACCGTGTTTTAATATTTTACAAAGTTCTTTCAAATAATAGCCAATGCTTAATCTTGAGCCATCCTTGTCTTCCCATCATTGGTTTTCCCAGGGCCTCGATCCTATTTCTTGTTGCTTCCCTTCTGTTTCCATCTTCCAGTCATTTTTTTGGCCGTTTATTCTGTTCTTTTTGCAGTTTTAATTATTGCAATGATTTCCAAGTCTTCTCAGAGCTCTGGATGTCACACAATTGGCACAGAGTACATAATTAAATAATTATTTTTTTAAAAATCAATCTTATCGTTTGATAGAAATTTCCACTTAGAGGTCACGTCATATCAAAGCCTGAAACCAATGTATTGTCTTGCCCTTAAAATAACTCCCTTTTTTGATGTGTCTGTAACAATAGGAAGAACTAATACTTATTGAGTGACTGAAAAAGGTACTTTCTAATATATTGCCTGTCTCTCAAAACGATCCTATGAAATAGGTGATTTAATGAAGAAACAGGCCCCAAAACACAGAGTACGTGAAGGAATGAAGATCTGAACCCACGTCATCTAACGCAAACCAGTGTGTCTCCTATCACACCTCAGGTCTGTCACAGTCACTTAACCCCTCGGTGGCAGTGTTTTAACCTGTCAAGCAGAGGCCCGAATACCAAATCCAAACAGGAAACATAGGATCTGAATTGCTAGGTAATGAGGAATGAGCAAAATGTACTGCAAAATCAATAACAGATTTATAACTAAAAAAATTTAAAATTAAATATTTTTGAAAATGCAGTCATGCTTTATCTCATTTGTTTGAAGCAAGTTCTGAAATAATACTATTATGTCAACTTTCCTTGATTTTTCTTGGAATCTGAGTTTTCAGGACCATTGCTTAGGTTCTATATAAAAATATAACAGACTAAAAGAAACAATAAAGTTGATTTGTTTCATTAAAAATTTATTTTTAGAGCTCATAAATGATTAGATTCCAAAATAGTAGCAATACAGAGTATTTAAGAACATTTTAATTTTTTTTTCTACTCAACATTCCACCTTTGTTTTGCTTTCTATAAACAAGAATACTGGATTTAAGCAACAATGCTCTTACCCCAAATTAAATGCTGAGTACTTTCAATGACTTATTTTGAGCACATAATAAAACAGATGCAATTAATTTTCTTGAACAAGTTATTTCCATTCAGAGCCTAGCAATTACTTTAGCTTCACATTATTCTGTCACAAATGATAACCAAATGGCCTAAGTAACTAAAATCATAAAACTATTTTAAGCCAAATTAATGGTATGTATAAAGCTAATATAAAATGAACATTCACACCATTACACATTGTTTTTGCACCCTACTAGAAATATGCCAAAATAACAAGCTTTATATAAAAAATGAGGTCCTTTGGCAAAGGAGGAAGAGGAGTCATATAATCAAAAATTATTAGAAAAAATTGTGGGTAAGAAAAATCTGCCTTGCCCAGCCGGTATGGCTCAGTGGTTGAGTGTTGACCCATGCACCAAGAGGTCGCTGGTTCAATTCCCAGTAAGGGCACATGCCCAGGTTGTGGGTCCAATCCCTAGTAGGGGACATGCAGGAGGTGGCCAATCAATCTTCTCTCTCATCAATGTCTCTAACTCTCTCTCCTTCTCCCCTCCTCTCTCTCTAAAATCAATAAAGGAAAGAAAAGAAAGAAATCTGCCTACCATTTAACCAAATAAGGAAGAAAGGGGAGTACACCGTTAGGGTTGATGTCAGTTCAGGAAAATACATTTATCATTTCATCACAAACTTGCTCATCACCTCAAGAGCCGAGCATCAGGCCCTCCATTCTAGTATTCTCCCATTAAGTTTCTTTACATGGAACATAAACCTACATTTATAATAACAACAGAATAGTATCCTGCTATTTAATCTGACAGAAGGTAACCGAAAAACAATAGTTAGGGCTGCACTGACTTTTGGCTATCTCCAAGCCCCTGAAAATAGGGGCAAAAATGAGTCACTAACAAACAATGTTCAAAGAGCACTGTATTATCTGTGCTTTATAAAACAAGTAAAATTCAGTAATCTTCAATGGAAAAAGCCATAGTATTTGAAAATTAGGAATGCTTTGATGCTGATTTTTTTTTACCGAAATGGTACCCCAAGCCACTTAAGTTGGAACAAATTCCAAACTCACACGCACTTGCATCACCTCCGTTTAATAATCCAATAAATGACAAAAAAGACAAACAATGAAAACAGCAGCATATAGCACATCAGCTTTGTTTGGCTTCCTCTGGATAAAATCTTTAGTTTTTCCACAGTTCTACCTAGAAATCCAGTTGTAGAATCAAATTGTGAATCCTATGAGGAGAAAAGAAAAACAAAATATAGTGCTTCGAGTCTAATATTCTACATAATGCACATTTAAGTAATTGGATATATTGTTATTAGAATACACTTTTAATGGCATTTTTAGTGTTTAATTACCTCAGGAGCCTGTTTATAACTCGGATAATTCTTTCAATGACTAAAAAACTCTTTCATTATTCAATAAACATTTCTTTCATCCACAGAGTATTTCAAAATCTCAAACTATTTAGGTCTTATTCCAATCATGTGAATTAAAAAACATTAACAATAAAGGTAGTTTGTCTACTATCATACAGGTTTTTCCCCACTTTTGGGGGGCAGAGGGGATCAAACCATTTTACTGCGGGCCTCAGGGAGGGTCGAAAGGCTGGGAGGACAATGAGATCTGACATCCTCAGCCTGGCCAGGATCTCCCAAGCTTCACGGCTGCCAGAAAAGCATTTTTTGTTGTTGTTGTTTTACTTTGCTTTTACCACTTTTGGTGGGGGCATGCTCTCCGAGATCAAATAGGTGTGCTTCCCAGTACAGCATTTAAGGTGGTTGGTGAGCAGTTAAATGTACCTTTACTTTTAAGATCCTTTCATTTACATTGCTGACTTTAAAGTATAGTATAGTCTTTTAAAAGTTAAGAGAATGTCATATAGAAGTGGTAAAACATAGTAAAAACTACAAATATGGATGGGGAAAACTACCATATTAAAATGTAGCTGGAAGAGTCCTTATGATAAGGAGTAGGTATGAACTAGAAATATTGCACTTTCATTGAAAACCCAATACGCTGAAATGTAAAGGCCCTGGCATGATGACAGCTTTAGCATAGCTCTGGCTACGTAGCTCAAACACTTTATACATCTATGTCTTCGGCAGGGTTATGTATCAGAATCATTTTTCAAAATACACATACCTCGGTCCCTCCCACTGAAATTCTGAATCAGTATATTTGGAATGAGAACCAGGCATCGGTATTTTCGGAGAGTTCCCCACATGATTCTAATGCACAGCTTCATAGGAACATTGCTTTCAATGCCATATTCCTTTTTGGATAGTACAATTTTAGAAGCACGTGGAGAAACTGGGAAAGGTCTAGAGAAGTTTGACATCCAAAATAAAGATTAAAGATTGGAAAGAGGCTCGATGAAGAAAAGGTATATATTGCTGAGACTGTGAAACTAGAGATAAAAGGCTCTAGATGTTACTATATTCAAATCCTATTGATTTGTTCAGAAGTGATCCTTAGGACATCAAGCAAAAGAAATAGCAAAAGAAACAGGCTTACATTTAAGTGCAAGACATTTGGTTGATTGGATGCAAGGTGCTTTTTGATTACTTGGTAGTCTATATCCAATGAGAGCTCTAAGAACACTCAAAATAGTCATTTGTCCTGAGTCTTCAACAGTGTTTCTAAACACAGGATTAAAGATACATTGGTTTCCACTTCTTCCTCATACTTATGTGTGTCAGGCAATATGAGAAATGTAAAAATATAGCAAAGATACACTTTGTAGTTATTCCAAACCAATTAGATATAAATGGATTAAAATCTAGGACTTATGATCTTTAGGATCTATTTCAAAATGGATAAAAGTTAAAACAGTGTTATTCCTGAATAACACACTAACTTTAAAAATATTAAATCAAATTTCTTAAAGTTAAAATCTCACTTACCATTTCAGCTAATATTTTATTTTGAGTTTTAACTTCATGGCCTATCTCAATGGAAAGCTACAAAGAAAGCATATATACATTACTACTCATATAAAAGTATTTATGTGTTATAAAGCAAACATAATGCCATTTTAAATATACACAGTTTCTCAAATAAAACTGCATTCTAGAAATAGAAGAATCTCTTCTTCTGATATTTTCACTGAAATTAATGGAAAATAATTTTAGAATGTCTACTCCTTCCCAACAAGGACATGGCGTCCCTGCTCTTCATCTGGATTTCATCTTCATATTTAGTTCCATCTTTTAATTTTGATGCATACTTCTTTCTGATTCTCCTAGACTTGCATTCTTTTTTTCTTTCTTTATATTATTCATACAACAATATTTATCTGTATATTTCCTTCTTTGTGTTTTTAAAGATATATACCTGTATTATCAATTCAAATTCAGATACAAGTATTTACTATGTTCCTACTGAAATGTGACATTACTTTGACTATATACCTAAATTGATTACTTTTTTAGATTCTAAAGGTATTTTTGTTTAAAACACAACAAATTGAAAAAATACAAGTTAGTATTATCCACTTTCTAAGGCTATGCAGAAAAGAGGCTGAGCCTAGAGAAATCTGTAAGGGGTTATGGCTGCTAGTCCAACCAAAACCTATTTAATACTTTATATGATGAAGTCATCAAAGCCTTCACTTCCAAGATTTTGAATAAATATAACCACAACTACTAAAAACCCTGGCAAACCACTGCAAATAATATTCTTAGTTAATTTTGTGTGAACAGCGTAAGGCCATATTACTGACACAAAAGCACAGAATTCTAGATTCGAATATGAGATAACACAGCAACTATAAAGCTTGATAGCCCAAATCACCTAACTGCTGCGCACAACCATCATGCCACGGAACAGATTTCTAGGGGAAAAAAGCTTTCTTCTAACAAGGAGCTTAAATGAGCAACACTGAAGGTTTTAAAAAATCATTTAATTCTTAATTTCCTCTAAATGTTATATTTTCTAAATTATTAACATCATACAATATTGCTCAGTTCATAGATCAACTCCCTTTGATTTAGTATGACTTTGAAAACAATACTCATTTCAGAATGTAATAGTCTCCAGGCTGAATACAATTCTATTTTCCAAGACTAGTAAGATACTAATTAAGTTTTGGCAATACGAGCTTCTACTCAATGCTCTGTAAGTGTATAGCATGTTTATTGTAATGCAGAATCAATCACACACACTGTTAAAACCATCTTTTTTCATTCCTTTATTTAATAGATTTAAGTCAATACAACTGATAAGGAATTATAGTAGATGCTGTGTAGAATATAAAAATGAGTACAACAGAAAACCTTACATTCTGGTAAATTTCTTTTACATACAAATAGTTCTAATGCAGATCACTATACAATAAGGGTTATGGAAACTGTACAGTCTTATGTTCATAAGGAAAAAAGTTACTTTTGATGTGGTAACCAGGTGAAGCTTGGAGGGGGGGAGGGTGCAATGAAGTGGAGCCTTTCAGCGGACCAGAGCTCAGCAATGTAAGAAGGAAAGGACACCCGAGGCAAAGGGACAGCACAATCGAAGATACGGGCGCTGGGAGGTGCCAGCGTGCACAGGACAGAGAGCACTCTAATTTATCCGGGAGAAAGCATATGCACGTTCTGAAAATACAGGAGGTAAGGTCTGAAAAGCTGTGGACAGTCTTCAAAGGACCTATTAGATCAACATACGGACTGTGAACTTTCTTTCTTACATCATGGAGGGCAGTGAGGTCTTCTGAGAGTGTAGGATGTAATTTAAAATAACACTAAAAAGATGACTGTGGTGACGGCATGTGACTCAGACCAGAACATGTAAAAAAATTAGAAACAGATAGGTTAAAAGGCTTTCCCAATAGAAAACCAAGAGGATAGTATTAGATACGGAAAAGCAGAAACAGAAACAAACAGTAGAAAGAAAGAAGCATAAGCCTCGGTGACTGATTTAAGGGAAAAGGCAGAAACATGAAAGACTAAGATTTGTAGCTTAAGAGACCAGAAGAAGAAAAGGCCAGGAGAAGAGCTGCTTGGGTGTGGAAGATGGAGCTTGGAGACACTACTACAGACAACACACAGTATTTTAGATTTAACCACAAAAAACAGCTGAAGTTTAAAAAAGATAAACAAATGTACCACATGATTTAATTGGCCACATTTTCAAACCTTCTACTCAAATCATGTCTAAATTTTGAGCATGTCTCACTGAACTACACTATCTGAACAAATGAATTCTTAATATGATGCCAATAAAAGTACACAGTTTATAAGTAATATATACGCATATAAATATACAAATTTAAAAGTACTTAAAATGTTATATACTTACAGATTTTATAGCAGTTACTTTGTGTCTCAGACTCTCCGTGAGTCTGTCATTTTCTTCTTCACAGGCACTGTACCCACTATTAGCATAGCCATAATTCCCATAGTTGCCAGGAGGTCCTCCTTCACCTGCAAGAATCAGTCACAGGTATAGTTGTAGCAAAAACAAGCCACTTTGAAACTTTGATTGGAAAGAACCGAAAAAGACCCCTGGAGGGCGTTGCAGACCATGTATGTCAATAAGAGTCACATTTCAGGTAAATTTTTAAAATAAGCAAATAGAGTAGAACAATTCCTTCAATGCCCTTTCTTAAGCAAAGAATATTCAATTCATTTCAACACACATTTATTGATTGCTCATTGATTGTCCACAACACATTAACATAGGTACAAGGATATTCAGGACACATTTCTTGCTCCATAGAACTACACATTTTAATCATGATCTAAAAGTAGTAACGTCAACTCCCCATTGAAGAAGCCTGGCTATGAAGAGTAAAGGAGAAAGACGATAACATAGCAGGAGGGAGCTCATGGCAGAGGAAGGGTGCTTTACCGGTATCTCTTTCTCTTAAACAGAAGAGAGCTAGAATAACTTAAAGAGAATATAACTGAGAGCTGAGAGAGGGGATCATTCAATCTTCAACAAATCTTTGAGAAACTAGGTGCTACTTTTTGGAGCTCATCTTCTAGGGAATAACACTGAGAATACAGAAATGCAGTCCCTGCCACTGTTTAATTAGTACTTGATATTCATCAGCAATCAAATGATTGGAGTAAGCCTTGGACAGTGAATACATCAATAATTGCGTTAGGGAAATGAGAGCGGAAAACACAGTTTAGGGTGTTATTTAACCACATTAAAAAAAATCATTGATACCACCAATTTTCTTGGTAAAAGAAAAGGCTGTCTCTGAAGAATGATGGTCATTTGCGAAAAACAATAAAGAGAATGGAGAAAACTGACTGGGACTACAGAGGGGACTGGGGGATAAAACAAGCCTCACTGAGGCAATATACACTAGTGGTTTCAATCCTCTTGGATGTGTGCAAAAAGAGCTCATCAACCTGAGTCAGCCCATGAGAAGCTAGATGGTCAGACTACTCAAGATTTGGAGGTTTATGGTGTTGGGCTACAGAAGGACAGAACCTCAAGAGGTTGAGATTGCTCACCAAAAGAGTGGTTAAATATATGAATTATGGGGTCTAGACTGAATAAGGATTCAAGTAATTTCAACAGAGGCCTGAGAATAAGGGGGAAAGGTATGATATGGAAACCAGAGGTTTAGAGGTCTACTAAACTCCAAGAGTAGATGGAAGAATAGGAAGTAGTGGCCAGAGCTGGTGGTTGAAGGATGGTTGAGGTGTGAATAGGAAGCTCTTTCAACGCATAGCACAAATCTCATTTTCTCTAAAAAGCAAACCTCACTCCTTTGAATTCTTATAGCTCTGATTTTACAAAACACTAGTATCGCACTCTAGACTGCACTCCAAGGGCAGAAACTAAATTTGTTTCACTCATGGCTACATATCCGCCACAAATGCATACACACATACACACACACACACACACACACACACACACAGTAAGGCACACTCAATAAAACTTGTAAATGAATTAATGAATAAAATCTGAATTCACTGTTATTCAACTTTCAGTGTGCCTGTCAAGAATAGAATCGTAAGTTTCTTTGAGGGCAGAAACAGTGTTTCATAATTTTATATGCTTTGTACCTAATGAGCACTTATGCAGCAGACACTTACACAATTTCTACCACCACAAACAGAAACACAACAAAATGTCAAACAAGTATGTTCCAGAGTAGAGAGTTGCATTCCTCAAATTTTCCCTCAACTGCTGGCACACGATCCATAAAGCTCTCCAAATATGCTATTATAGAAGTGAAGAACTCAAGTGACTAGGCATAGTATATTTTCCCCACTCAGTTAAAATAATCAAAAATGCATTCTCACTCCATAGTTAATGATACGTTATGCAAGCTCTATTTTAATAAGGACCAAAATCCTTAAAGAAAAGGTATATGTCTTCTTATTTTATGACTAAGATTCAGAATGCAGAACATTTGCCCAAGAAGTCACTGCTGACTGGTTGAATTTAATCACCTGAAAACTTTACCAAGGAATTCATTTCTAAATTAATGGCTATTTGCTTTATTTTCATTGCCTACCTTAATTTTTTTTTTTTTTCAATCCTAACCCAAGGATATTTTTCCACTGATTTTCAGATATAGTTGGGGGAAGAGGGAGAGAAAGAGAAACATTGATGTGAGAGAGACACATCAATTGGCTGCCTCCCAAACGATCTCAACCAGGTCTAGGATCTAACTGCAACCGAGGCATGTGCCCTTGACCGGAATCAAACTCGAGACTCTTTGGTCCTCGGGCTGGAGCTCTAACAGCTGAGCCAAACCAGCCAGGGCTGCCTACCTTAATTTTAATTTTAGAGTCTTCTATATTGTTCCATTCATTAAAAGCAAAATTTTCACCACCCAGCAATCTGTCAATGAACATTTCTTCTGTCAAAGAACTTTAAACTTCCCTCACACTATTACCCACTTCCAACATAAAAACATCAAAAATATCAAATAAAAGTTTAGGAGTTGCTATTCCAAAGTTAGCTGCTTCTTTTTATGTGGATCACTGCTAAATAAGTGGTAGGAAACCTAATGAGTGCCAAAGTCATCCATCCTCACCCTTTGTCCATTTAGGGCTACTTCTTTTGGGTAGTTTCTATCACTAGTTGAGCCAAATCATTTACAGATTCATATGAAGCATGGCAGCTTCTTCACATTAATATTTATCAGATTCACTACTTATTCCAAGTTTAAAATTCCAGGTTAATACACATTGATGCTTAAAAAAAGCCCACCTCACATCATACCAATGTCAAGGATAGCAACACACACCTAAGTCATCACCTTTCCTCTCAACTACAGGGGAGCTTAAAAGAAAAAGGCTGGTCTGAATGGCGTGGGGGGAGGGGGGTGCAGGCACTAGGTTCCAGGTAGCAATGCCTTAAAAGCTCTCCAGGTAATTCTAAAGTACAGTCATGGCTGAGAATCAGCTCTTATCAAGTTCCTTTCCTGCAATTTATCATGACACACTGCTGAACAAAATATTCTAAGGGTTAAAGGGCTTACTGTTAAGATCCAAGCTCCTTGGCCTGGTACTCCACAATGTGGTAGTTCTGGTTCCATGACTCCTACTTCAATCAAACTGCCTTGATCATAATCCCTTCAACACATCATTCATAATTCTAGTTCTACAATTCTTTTGGTGGCAGTGGTGTTATCCTTCCAGCTGGTCTTACCTCTCCCACCCTGTATCTTCCAGTTCTAGTTCAAGTTCCTATGTCTCCACAAAGTACACAGCACTCTATCTCTAAAATGCCTAAACATTCACTATATGTAGAACTTGTCTGACATTTGATGTATAACTAGCTACCACCTTGCTCTATAATTTATCTCTGAAGGTTTTCCTACTCCCTAACTAGGTTGGAAGCTTTGGGGAGCACAAACAGGGCTGCAAATGGCTGTATACCTGGAACTGACTCAAGTACACAATAAATGTTTGCTGGCATCAGTAATGGTACAAAGGAAAAACATGTAGGCATATAAAACTAAGCGTACTCAAGATTAGTTCTTTTTTCTCTATGATTTACCTGGTCAACTTTCTTTCTATGATCCAAGTAATCATAAAAAACTGTATTTTTCAAAAACTGTTTCTCATACTAAAATTTATTAATCAACGTACAAGTCTAGAGTTACTGGCAACTTTCACTAACTTTTAATACCTGACACTTGAAAAAGCTGATTTTTCTTTTTCCAAGGTAACATCTTTTTTTCCCAATATTTCATATATTTTTCTCAGGTATGATGTATGTTGATTTAGCAGGGTTCTTTTCTTATTTTAAATAGTCTCTTAGTAGAGAAATTCAGAACCAGAAAATGCTGTTTTAATCGCTGTGCATTATAATGGCCCAGTAGAAGTCCTTGTGCCTAACTTATTCCTGCTGGTTGGTGAACAGGCTTCCTAAGACAAAAGGTCAAGAACAAATGCTTAAGCCTCCAAGCATTGCCACATTTTACTGCCTTAACAGTGGAAGACGGCTCAGATAAGAAATGTTCTGGGTAAAATGGCCTCTGACCCCGATGTTGGCCTCGGACTTGAACAGTAAAGACACGTATACTTACCTTTGTAACTCACTGTTACCAGGCTACCATGATTACTATTATTTTTAGTGTGCTTCGCATGCAACACTCTTCAAATTTCGCTTCTTAAGAAACTAACATCCAGGGCCAGCCGAGAAGGAGAAACCGAAGCCGAACTTCGGGGAATAAGCCCTTTTCATAATCATGTGCAGTTGGGCAATAAACTAAAAGACACGACGGCTGGGCTGGCACCTGTACATACTCCACCCCCAAGTCCTCCACTGCACTCTCTAAACCTGCCATCCAAATCTGGGACTGACCCAAACTTAAGGATACCCCTAGGATCTGGGACAAATGATGTGTTTCCACTTGTCACCGCCTCCAACGACCCCTCCACACATCCCGCTTTCTGGCCCAGATTCCAGAGCGGTCCGACTTCCTCCCGCGTCCCCGCGCCCAGCACAGTCGGTTCCAGGGTCCCCGAACTTCGAACCTCAGCCCTCTCCTTACCCAGGCCTGCACGCCTCATCCTGCCAGAAGAGGTGGGAAAAGGGGGGCGGAGGGGTAGGTAGGAAGGGGCCAGGGGTCACCTAGACCTCGTCTTCAGGACCAGGACCAGGCGAATCACCAACTTCTCCCCCTATAGCGCCACGACATCAGTGGATCTAAACATCGCGCGGGCTGATGGCGTCACCCAGGCGCTCATTGGCGCCTGCGAGGGGATTGAATGGCATTCTGGGAAATGTAGTTCAGCCCAGATGCAGGGAGCAGGGCCCGGCGCGGTGTGAACGCCGCTCCGGACTTCCGGAAGAGGGACGAGCGCTTCGCAGCTCGGGCGCCGGCTTTCGGGTCTCGGGCTCTGGATCTTCACCTCTGGGCTCGCGCCTTCCCTAGAGCCTGCTCTTAGCTGTCAGCCCCTGAGTTTAACTGAACAGATCGGCCCTTCCCAGCCATGAGAGGATGGTTGACTTATCTTTTCTGATTCCGCCTTTCTCTTCTCCCTTCCAAAGTCAGTGCAGGGACAGTGGAAGAAAACGTTATCCGAGTTTCTGATCACAAAGAAATGAGACCACAGAAGGGAGGGAGGAAGGTTAACATTTTGTGTCCGGTCACCCAGTCAAGTTCTCGGTTCCTGGATTGTTTGCATTGCTAGAGAGAACCATGGTGTTAGTTGTTAAGGGACCTAAGGACCCCTCGACTCCTTTGACCTTTTTAACTCAAACTCACGTAGAGGAAACTGATGCACTGTGTACCCATGGTAATGTGCCGGTTTAAGTCAGGATTTAAAAGCCACTTGGAGGGTAGGGGTGGTGCTGAAATCGAAGCTAGTCCTAGAATTTCATTTTATCTCAGGATTACCATGAGGATTAAAGAAATTACTTTTTTTTGTTTTTGCAAGAAATCTTATATACAGTAAGTGCTCAAAAAACACTGGGTATTTTGCGGGTTTGCCGCTGCTGTGTGACAGCGGAATAAATCTCCATGCTAGAGATTTCTGAAAATGCACTCTGATCATTTCCCTCATAGTTTCTCAATATAAACATGGACTGTAGCAGTGGTAGATAACTCTCTGCCTTCGGGCTGATTTTGTAAAATCCACACGAAAACAATTTTTAATAAAAGTTATTAACCTGGGAAATAAGCTTAATCCGATAGCATTTTGAGAGAAAAACAGTCTTCATAAAAATGAAATAAACCACTGTTCTCTAAAAGCAATGGAATTAAATGGAGAGTGCAGCAGAGACAATTATTGCAAATAAACAAGGAAGGTTCAGTAAGAGAAATGATGGCAAAGCTTTTTATTTTTTTCCCTTACAGTTTGTGACAGCCTCTTCTTTTGCAGAAAATGCACATGTTCCATAATCAAAACATGTCAGAAAAATCATCTTATTCAAGGAAGGCTTTTTCATATAAATGTAATTTTTAAAAGTCAAATGTTAAATTTACCAAAACAGACTATTTAAATTATATATGTACTCATCCTCTTTATAAACAATTTTCTTTACATCGTAGAGAGATATAGGATAAAATACAGTTAAATGAAAAAAAATGAAGTGTATCAAGAATATAATGAAGAGACTCAAAGCTGGTTTATATTGAGATTTTGACCTAAAAATCCAAATAGTTGTTTATTGCTACTGTTGCCAATCTCAAATTAGGATGATCTCATCTGAGAAGATTGTGCATTCAAAAGATGAGGCAGAAATGATGAATTTAATACACAGAAGAATAATTATTAAACGTGGTCATGGCAGATATAGAGACCAAAGGGAATTCTTTTCAATTTTATTATTTTCTATTTTTCTTTGCCTTTTAAAATTAAACTTTCTAACTCTTCTTACTGATGGAAGAAGACCAACAATAGCATTTAGAACATTTTCTCTATTCTCATAGGATAATTTCATAGAAAATATCTAATCTTGGGGGGTCTTTAAGAAATTATTGACTAAAAATAACTTAAAACAAGTATTTTTTGTAGTGATTACAGAAGCAAGAATATGAGCATGGATTATCTGAATCTTGGTACAAAATATGAAACTTCCTGTTTCCCGTTTGTCTGCTTGCTGACCATTAGTCCTGCCTCTTCCTGACCAAATGTCACAGCTAATTCGAGGGGAAATAGCATACAAAGCTCTCAAAACTGGCTAAATAAACATTAACAATTTTTCTAATCATGATGCAAATTTAGTATATCAAGCATCAAATTTGAACTGTAAGAAAATGTAAACTAAAATAAGATAGAACTTTATTTACAAACATGCTATGAAACAAAAGTTAATTTGGAACTCAGCTATTTTTAAAACACATTTATCCTGGAGAATAAAATGGTGGCAAGGTTCCCAACCCAGCCCAGAAAATTCAGGGTTATTGTGGTTCCTCTTGGCCAATCAAAGTCTATGTAACCCATCGTACAGCTGAAGTACCATATATTTGTAGTGAAAACCAAAAGGAAAACATTAATTTAATTTTTTTTTCTTTTTATTGATTTTAGGAGAGAGAGAAACATCAATAAGAGAGAACATCAACTGGCCACCTCTTACATGCCCCCACAGGGGATTTGGCCCACAAGTTGGGCGTGTACCTTGACCAGGAATCAAACCTGCAACCTATTGGTGCATGGGTCAATGCTCAACCACTGAGCCACACCAGACAAGCAGAAAAAAAAAAATTTTTTTATTCTTCATGTGAAAGTAATATCATTAAAGATGAAACAGACTTTTGTAAATATTTTGACATTCTTGTTAGAGAATTAGTTTTGCTTAAGTTCTTGAGAACTCAAAAAAATTTCAAGGAGTTTTCAAAGAGCCATCAAGTTGACCTTCCCTGTTCATAATTCAGGACTATTATAGCACTGATGTAATGCTTATTGCCTTAATTAGTACAAATGAGGTACATATTTCCAACTGAAAAGTCTCCAGCAGAACGAGCTGCATGATTGTGGGACCCAGTGCAAAATGAAAACTCAGTACCTCTCATTCAAAAGCAGGAGAAAAGTGCAGTTAAAGATAATAAAAAAAAATAATAACCTTTTTTTTTTTGCAATCCCCGTCCACAGAAAACAAAAACAAAAACTTGTTATGCTGTTTTGTTTGCTATTTAATGTCTTCTAAGTAAAAAAATAAAATAAAAATTTTAAATGATTAGCATGAATTTTACCTTTCATCTTTATATTACACAATGACATAGTTTTATTTTTAAAAAATTTTTTTAAATTTGTTTTGGTATGTGCCCCTAGCGGGAACTGAACCCAAGACTCTCTGGTCTGCAGACCAATGCTCCAACCGCTGAGCCAAACCAGCCAGGGCCAATGACATACTTTTAAATGCAAACCTAAGATCATTGAAGTCATATGTGAAATCACCAAAATCACACAATTTGTATTTCATAGTTCATATGTGAAGATGTATTTTGTAGAAACACAGCACAAAACTAACTTGACTGTCTTTATTTCATGTCTTGATAGGCACTTTATCTTGACACTCTACAAACACTTTATCTTCAACTACTGATGAGTTAGCAGGGACTAAAAAGGAAAGGAATTATGGATTTTCCTATCTTTTCCTTTCCTTCTAGGTCATCATTTTCAATATAACTAGAAAGGAAGATGAGGAAGAAAGAATATACGGTAATAGGTTTCCTTGGATGTTTCCTTCTTTCTGCAGAACGAGTTCTGGTTCAAGAAGAACATGTGGCCTTTGGGGCTGTCAGTGCCCACACTTACTTCCTCAGTCACAGACTTAACACACTTACCTTATACTCACTTTGAGTTTTGCTAATTTTCCATGCATCATGAATTGAGTCCACTGGAATTCTGTGCTAATGGGGTATTGCAAATGTTAACATGTGAGTGGGGTGGCAAGGAACAACAAACATGCATTTTGTACACATCTCTTCTGTTGATATGCATGCTCCATTATTCCATTAGACTTCATTTACAACACACAAGTTCAAGATAAAATTAAGAATTTCAAGATAGTGATCAAGGAGCATTACACCAAGTATGAAGCTCTTGTAGCAATGGGTCAGGGTTGTGCACCCAAGGACCTGGCCCTGGTCTTTAGGGAGAAATTTTTCAAGGTCATGGGACCATAATTGGTAGAGAAAAAGAAAGAGAGTGAGTACAGAGGACAGACATATGAACAAATTGATCAAGGTGAGCTAATAAGCTAACACAGATTGATCAAGGTGAGTTTATAGGGAAGCAAGAAAATAGAGTACGTGTATTATGCCCTAACTAAAAGAAAAGAAGGAAGGAAACAGGTTGTAAATTGCATAGTTCTCCTAAGCCACCCACCAAATGGGTTTCTGTCACCAGTAAGTGGGTAATGGGCCACAGATGAATGAAATTGTGACTTGGCATATACAGGCAGTAGAAAGATTTCATCAAGATGGCCATGATCTTAGCAAACCTGAATAATGGAGCGTAATTACAGGCATGGAGATCTTTCCTGTGTTTAAGTCCAAGATGTTTCATCTTCCAGTAATCCTGATGTGTTACTAAGACCTCATTCTGAGAAATTATTTCTTCCTTGATGTCAGTTAATCAGTAGCTTTAAAAAAAATTTTATTAATTTGTTTTTGTTACAGATGTTTCTCATTTTTACCCTATTGACACCCTCCTCTCCTTCCCCCTCCCACCCCATCCCCAGCTTTATTGTCTATGTTCATTGGTCAATCAGTAGCTTTGATTCCCCCCACCCCCCTACTCTTCCCCAGCTATCCGGACCCACAATAGAGCTAAATTTCAAAACGGGCACTTTACATAGGCCGCCCTTTTAATGTTTCAATTTTAGAGACATCTTTGATAGATCTAAAACATCATTGTAGATTAAAGATAATAGTTGTAATTTCCATTGCCCAGGAAATATTGGTGTTGCATGTTTTAAAAGTTTCTACATTTCCTATCATCTGAGACTAATTTAATCAAGTTGATAGTCATTTTAATAGCATTTATTATTCAAGAAGTATATTGGATTATCATGTTGATACATTCACAGCACACAACTTGGTTTTATTTGCACAGTGCCATTAGACACTTTGACAGACATGTTACTTTATTACCCCATTCACTGATTGTTTTTTCCCATTAGTGCCGATTATTTATCTATATATGAGAGACACAATATTTCAATAAGTTGTCCAGGGGTTGAAATAT